GCCGCCTATAGTTCGTCGTCGCCGAGCGCATCCATGTCGGATCTCCGCCACCAAACACCTCCCCATCGACCGGATCCGCGGATCTGCATGTCGGTCGTGGAGCGCCATCAACCTCACCGCCGCCCCATGTAACCACCAATGCTGGAAACAGCCAAAACACCGCAGTGTACGTCCACGTCCACTACTAGCGCTCGGCCCCGTGTTGCAGCAACACCTTCGAGACATGTTTCTACAACAACGCGGCATTGTTTCAGAACGACGACGACAACTGTACAAGTACGTTGTTGCAGAACAACGACAACGACTGTGCAAGTGCGCGACGCGGCTGTGGATGCTATTGCAATTTTTTCAACAAGAATCTTGTTGTAGAAAATTAGATGCCGCAGCCGGAGATGTTGCTGCAGTTTTTGCAACAAAGGTTTGAAGCAAAAAATTAGAGAAGAAAATGTTTTGCAACATGGGTCTTATTGTAGGAAATTAGGCCAATTCCAGCGCGCGACCCCATCCTGTCCGGGTTCATCCGTTTGGGGCAAAACGGACATACCAGACGACCCAGCGCGGGGGCGCAAACGGACTTTTGTCCGTTTAATGTCCCTTTCGACCCATCTGGGCCCAAGTTTGGGCCGCTTTTGAGGTGAAATGGACAGCACGCGGACCAGCGGAACGCGCGTGCTTGTCCTCCCCTGGCCCACCCGTCGGTGGCACAAAGCACCGGCCCGGCGCCCCATTTCATGCCACCCCCCCCCCAACCCTCCCACAGGTCCCGCGACCTCCCCTCCGCCCACCACCCTCCCGCCATGGTCGATGACCGGCCAAATTCCGGCGGCCAGGCCGTCGACCCATGCGGAAAGGTGAAGAAGAAGGCGGCCAAGGGTTCGAGGAAGCCGCGGTCGGAACTCTCACCGGCGAAGCTCGCAAAGCTGGATGCCGAATCGGCCAAGAGGAGGAACCGGCGGACGGCGGCCAAGGGCAAGACCGCCGCGGCCAGGTTCACCGCCGAGCGCACTGCGATGGAGGCCGCGCGGCACAAGGCCGACCTCGACGAGAAGGAGGCCATCGTCAACAAAGCGCACGCCCTCCTCATGCATGGGATGTGCCGTCCGGCGATCTTCTCGGCAGCGCCCGTCGGCCTGGCGAGCACAGGCTCATCGGTCGCCCGGCCTCTGCAGTGCCCCTCGCCGACGCCATTGTCGCCCGGTTTTCCTCCGCCAAGGTACGAAGGCCAGACCCGTTTCTCGATGTCGTCGGATGACAGCGTGATCGCGCCGTCCACCCCGCGCCCCTCGGCCGTCATCGACCTCAACGTCACGCCGGGGTCCAGCAGCAGCGGCTGCCCCGTCCGTCGAGATGCAAAGAAAGCAAGTATGTTTGCCGTCTACAGCCACCATGCCGTTGCCCCGCGTCCTGTTCGGCGAAATTCCAACTAGGGCCGCTGGCATGAACTACGGGCCGTGGTTATTCGAATATGGCGTTTGAAAAATGAGGCGGACATGATGTGGCCAAAGGATGCGTCCGCGCGTTGGGTGCACGGCCACCGGCATCCCAGAAAAGGCTCGGTCACGACCCCATTGCCCATCCCAAACGGACAGAATCCGGGCCAAACGGAGGTCTGTTTGGGGTCGTGCGCTGGAGTTGGCCTTAGAGAAGAGTAGTTTTGTAACAAAGATTTTGTTGCAGGAAATTAGAGAAAACAAGGAACTATACAGACTGCTTGCATCATAGAATCGGACGGCTCATGAGGTGGCGTATTTTTTTTAAAGATCCGTCAGACGACAAGTAGCACACCCCTTATGTGATTATAGGATGTAGACAAATAAACATGATGATCATTTCCCATCAAGAAACAAATAAAGTAATATGTTTGAGCAATAGGTATTAAGAAATGTTGAACATCCTTATTGATTTCCTGTATGTATATTTTCTGCAAATCTGTTTATGTATCTATCTGTCAGTCAGGTTACTGAGAACACCTTAGAGCTGAAAAGAAATCTAAAGGATAATCTGTGCAGTAAGCAAGATCTTTTCAAAAATGGATCCTCTAAACACGACAGGGTTGGTGGCCTGGTGTTGCCCATTGGAAAGACATTTCTTCTACTGTATATGCAAATTTTGACATAACCACATGTCTCCCTCATGATGCAGAGCATGCGAGATTCATTTGCTTCCCGTTCCTGTGAGGTAGTTTTTTTTCTACGAAGGGGCAAGGAGGATTAGTGGTGCAATGGACTAATTAGTGTTTTTGGCCTTTATAGATCTTCTATAGATGGACGGTCGTAATTGTTTGGATCGCCCTCTTTAGATGTAGCAAAGGTTGGTTTCCTATGCCATCATGAGCAATAGTATTTTGGCCCAGTTCTTTTGCCAGAATCTGAGGATTTTCCCAGAATCCGACCCCTACCCAGCTTCTCCCAGAATCTTTAAGCCTCATTTATTTTACCATCCGATCTAGTTAGAGTCTAATTAGACAGGACAGGATTGTAAAACAAATGGGGCTCAAAGATTCAGGGAGAAGCTGGGTAGGGGTCAGATTCTAGGAGAATCCCCAGATTTTGGCAAAAGAACTGGGCCCTGTTTCACAGGTTGCACCAAGGTATGGAGATGTACTAGCAAAAAACTGATGCAGATATTTCCTCTCATGATGAAATTACAACCCCAGCAAGATCCAAATTCAACAAGAAAACCATCTCTATCAATAGGTAGCGTAGCAAATTTAACAACAATGGGAGCCCAAGCAAGTCGGCGTCGTCAACACACTGCGATACTAGAGTCTCAGCAACATTCATTCAGCACGCGATGCGTCGTCTTCTACAGTCTAAAACATCCAGCACATCTAAGTCCGCTGGGCGTAAACCTTCCTCGACCCGGACAACAGTACCATGTACTGAAAATCGTTGTTAGCATCCACAAGATACAGCAGTACTGACACTAGGAGAGCGTTCATCAAGAGAATTCTGTGAGATTAGGCATCGAGTAGCCACACATGGTTTCATCATCCCCCAACGGAAACTGGCGCCCAGGTTCAGACAAAGGTCCCAGTCGACACAGGTGTATGCGCATGACATCAATCCTGCGGCAGAAGTAAACAAAGACAAGCGTAAGAAGCAGCTACTGGAAACTAGAATGTGAAGTAAAATGCAGAAAACACACTGCAAATATCAGTACCTCTTGAATTGGGGTGCTTTCATCTGCTTGTTTCTGCTCATCAGCCCCATCCTCCTCCTGGTCCTGACCATCTGTCTCCATCTTCTCAGCTTCAGCTTCCTCTGACGCCTCAGCCATGTTAGTATCAGGCTTGGGGAGCGCAAACTCAGCAGGAACTTGGCCAGTGCTCAGCGCCTGATATCATGGTGACAAACGAGTGCACGTCAGTACTCAGCATAAGGTGCTTCAAACTGCACAAATTGCCACAGCTAAACGACACATGGCATGTTACCTTCTCAAGCCTTGTTACTTCATCAAGTGTCTGAGAGTTCACGATAGCAGCCTACAGATAACAAACTTGTTAAACACAAATTCGCAGCCAGATGTATCAGTATTACAAAAGAAAATACGCAGAAGATACTGACATTTACAGCACAACCTATATACAGTAATTGAGAACAAAAGATGCCTCGGTAACTGAGATGAACATGAACATCATGGTAAAACCAAAACATATGAAGGTAGATATCAAGTCCATAGCAAACATGCTAGTAAAACAACTGACCATGTTTTTTCCCCTGAATGCAATAATCGCCATAGGGGTTCTACTCAACTTGTAATAATGACATTAACAGTATGTGTCCAAAATAAAAGAGGGAGTGTACCTTGATAGCTGTGATCTGCGCAGGCGTTGGAGCGACTACTTTAGGGCCCTGATCTTTTGTGGTACCTTGAGAATCCATCACTACTGGAGTATAAGCTTTGGCAGCAACCTTCTTTGCCGCCTCCTCTGCCTCCTTTGAGTGGAACTTTTGTGCTGCGTCAGCTCTCTCCTACATAAACACAAAATCTCATACAAAATTTCAGAAACATACACAAAACCAGGCACAGCAAATAATGCTAGTGAACATGCCAACCAAAAAACATTCAATGGCATTCATGCATCTAATTCACAGATAATCAGTTAAAAGAGTTGCTCTTTTCCCCCTTTTGCTGCCAGCACTTCTGCGGTCAATTCCAAAATCATTTTGGAAATCATTCCGAAGGAAATGAATCAACCTGTGGGGAATAAATCAACAAATCAAGCAGCGACAGGATTTCTGTGCATATCCAGAACTTCTAAAAAACTTCATGATAAAACTATTATGGCATGGTATAAATCAACAACTCCTAGCTCCATTAAAAAAGAAATGAAGAAAATGATTATAGAAGAAAAGAGTATTAGTTGCTGACAGAACTCATAAACTGTCAATTAATGACAGTAACTCTTTTCTTTTAGAAGTCCCAAGAATTATCTTGACTTGATGCTCTAAAGGGCTAGCAGCCTAGCACGATAGCATCTAGATGGTGTTCTCAACTAATACTTCTTCAATTAAAATAAACATGACTTAGAGCAGACATAGTCTATTGATTAGCATAAAGCCGTAAACCACATAAGCCTGCAATGCTGCTAAATTTTGAGCTCATTTGAACTAACTCATATCTTAGATAAGTAAAACATATATGGGCAGATGTATGTGGGCTGTAGATACATGCAATATATTATGTCCAGACATTATATATCACTAAATTTCTGTGTTCATTGAAGAAACCATGACAAGTTGGTTTCCCATATATGAAGAACTAGACAAAGTTCAATGCAGCACAGTGGCACACAAATGGTAAATGATGTTTCATCATTAAAGAAAATGCAAACATAGGATGTTGACTTTAGAGACTATGATTAGCTATCAAATGAGAGAAAACTGCAGCGGAATTAAACAGATGTCATTCAGAACAAAATAATTGGCACTATGCAGAAGTATATTTGGACAACATGACAATCAAGAAATCAAGCCTGACTACAGATGATTCAAATATCAAACATAATTGTGTTATCAAGAATTTGATGGTTGCTAACCTGTTGTTTCACTTTCTTGAAGTCCAGGAGACGCAGATGCTTCAGCTTGTGGATCACATATAACCGGTAATCTGGTTGCTTAGTTACGGTATTATCCAGTAAGCTGAGAAATTGCAGCTTTGGAAGAGAGGCCAGGGGGTCAATCTCCGCAAGACTTGTGAGGCGATTGTTCGTCAGCACCAAAGTATGCATCTTGGGTAAAAACTCTACATGAACAGCAAAGCAAAGAGAATTGAAGAAACAGACAAGCTATGGAGCAAATTATGCAAGTGACAGAAGCACATGGCAACAAGACAAGATATTGTTTCTCTTACCACCAAGGTTGGGATTGATACGTGTAATTCTGTTGTTGTTGATTAACAGAGTGCCAAGGCGATTCATGAAAGGGAAGTTCTCAAGCTTGACAATCTCGTTGTCCGACAAATCAATCGTGTCAAACTGGTCCTGTTATCAAAAAAGGAACAAAGACAAGTTATAAACACAGCTAGAGAAGGAACTGGAGCAACTACAAACAATTTAAAATGAGACAAAGAAATCCCTATGATTTCAATTTCAAATCAAGCTAAACATTTTAAATTTTAAGCCATCGGTAATACAAAAATCGCCAAGAGGTGTGTCACTGATGGTAGAGTCAGTACAAGAGAGTAGGCTGGTAAAACAATAACAAGCCATGCATAATAAAACTGTTATGCCCTGGACAACTACATAGAAGAAAGCAAAAGTAACCAGAACAGTAGAGGTGTGGTGATCAAGTACATAAACACTCCTAGCAGCTAATTCTATGAGGGCACTGCTCATAGTGAAGGCTGAAGAGTAAATTATTTTCATGGGGAGGAAAGGCCTCCAGCTTAACCACCCCTACGATATGCACCTCTTATAAAATTACTACACAATGCACTCCAATACTTCATTCCTCTCAACCTTAGCTGGTATAACAGTGCATAAAAACACTATTCTGAACCATAACAACAAAATCACCACTCTTAGGCGGACACTAGACAAAATATGCTCAAACAGTACCCACGTCACGCCTTGCAACCCCAGCATAACATTGCATAGCACAGACTGATACAGGTAAAACTCCCTGCTTATAACAAGGACAAGGATTATGAGTCCACTAGCAGGAATGTTACCAAGCTAGCCTCGAATGCCAACAGAAATATTGCCAGCAGTAACGTCTGCTAACTTGACAAGGCACCACAGCATTACCCCTCCCAGCCTCTGTGGCCACTTCAATTGCAGCCAAGCAAATCGATAACCGAAGCACTGAAGGTGTGGCGAGCAAGTGTATAAACACTCCTATTAGCAATTTCAACATGCACACTGCTCCATAGTGAAGAGCACTTGATTTCTTATAAAGAAAGGTCTACAACTTCACCACTCCTATAGCGTGTGCTCCTTGTAAAATTGCTACACAATGCAGTCCAATACTTCATTCTTCGCAAACTTGGCTGGTATGGCAGTGTCTAAGACACACTATTCTGAACTGTAACTGCAAGATGAGCACTCTTTGGTGTTGCTCAGCTATCATCGAATGACCAACAGAAATATTCCCAGCAGTAACGTCTGTGAACCTGACAAGGCACCCCAGCATTACCGCCCCCAGCCCACTTCAATTGCAGCCAAGCAAATCGAGACACCTGTGTTCCTTGCGTCACCAACTATATCTAGCTCAAACAACTTCTGCCTCTGCACCCGTCCGTTCTAGGAAGTCAATTTTCCTAGAAGCAGATTCCCCCGGCCGGGGAGGTTGGGTCGAGGAGCCCGCACCTTACATACAGCTTAGAATGAGAGGAAGGACGGGTGGGTGGCGGAGCTCACCTCGGTGGCGCCGATGTTCTCGATGATGGCGATCTTGTTGCCTGCCGCCGCGAAGACCAGACGAACCACCGGTTAGACAGGGGAGAAAAAAAGGCAGAGCCCTAGATCTATCTGACGGGCGAGAGGAAGGGGGAAGGGGAAAGGAACCTCGGAGGTCGAGCTCGCGCTCCTTGATGGCGTTGAAGAAGTGCGGGCTCTTCCATATCAGGTCGGCGTTGAGCCTCACCATCGCGGCGGCGGCGGCGGCGGTCTGGGGCGGGAAGCGGGTGGCGAAGAGAGGCGTGGCAGTCGGCGAGGGGGAGAAGAAGAACCCTAGCAGCGGAAGCCGAGGGGAGGGAGAGGCGGCGGGCGGCTTCTCGTCTCGCTCTCCACCTGGGCTGGGCTGGGCCTGCTCTTCTGGGTCCTCCTCGTGAGACAACCCGGCGCGTTGTCCGTCCGTCCTCCTTGTCAGCGCGAGAGTTTTGGGCCGGCCCGTGTGCCCGGGGTGCCCCTGTTTTCTTTTCGTTTCGGATTTATTTCTTTTTTTTTCGCTTCATCAAAACATGGTTAGGGTTTCAAACAAAAAAAATAAAAAAATCATAGAGAATTTCAAAATTGTTCTGGAATTCAAAAAAATGCTCCTGAATTTCAAAACAAGTTACACGAATTTCAGACGATGTTCATCAAGTTCAAAACATGTTCACTAATATCAATAAATGTTCGCAAGTTTAAAAACCGTTCACAAGTTAACACAATTGTTTGCGGAATCCAAGATAATTCAAGAATTCGTAAAATGTTCATGAATTTCAAAAACATATGTCAGTTTGAATTTTTTTGGGGGAGTTTAGAAAAAATGTCCACATCACTCGAGTCCATTTACTCACCGTGACGCAAACCACAATAGCAAATGTCATTATCTGATTAGTAACACACGCTAACATTCAGTTGCGACACGCGTCTCCATCCAACTGACAGATTTGTCAAGTTCGTCTATCTACTCCATGCGATGGATATTCTCGCAAAAGGCAAGCGAGTCAATATACACCAGAGAAGACTAGCCACACAAGCCAGTGATAGACACCAGGATTCAAGTGCTATGTTACTAGTCGCTGTCGCTATCGCCATCCGAACCAGGATAGTCAATACAAGTACTACTACCGCCGCCATATGCTTGGCTGCTTGGGTGAACAACAGGCTGGTAGTTTTCGCATCCATAGCAGCGCCCTGCAACATAGATAGAAAAAACAAAGAGTTAGACTAATATCAATATGAGATTGCAACAGCACAACTGGCTGAACCTGATGCAAACCTCACGAACAATAAGAAAACAGGCCAAGAATCAGGAGGAGCAACTGTCAAGAAAACCAACAAGGTACCTGCATCATTTTCTCCAACTATACAGCACATAATCACATCATTCTCACTCCGGAAATAGAGGTCGACTTCAGAGAAGAATAGCTTGGTACTGTCGGCATCAGCATTCTGCTGGTCCTCAGGCTGCTTAGCTGTGAAGTTATAATGGGCGCCGCCCCCTCCAAACTCGTAAAATATGGATATCACTTTTACCTCCACCAGCTCATACTGAAAAAACATAATGGAAAGACATGTTTAAAATGGATAATCAGGCTGAAAAGTCATCCCGATTGTCACAACCTCACATACACGGAGATTAGAGAGAAAGAGAGAGAGGTAGACCTTGGTGTTGTTCGCTCTGTTGTATTTACGCAGGGCCACCTCCGCGTGGTAGCGCGCATCCTTTTGTTTGGCCGCGACTCTTCTTTCGCGCAGCGCGTTCCTCACCTCCGGAGGTTTCCTCTTTCGCATTACAGGTGGAATTCCGATGGAAGCGATGTCAAAGTCACCCGTCCATTTGGGTGGGGGCAGAGGCCGAAACCTCCAAGCATGTTCCTCCATGTTGATACCTTCAGCAGTGCTCCTCTCCTTGGACATCCAACCAGCTTGACTCCTGATTCATTATTGTGAACTGATTGTTATGCCAAAAAACAAAAATACATCACATGTACCATGCCTTAACGTGAGAAATATTAAGTTATCACTTACCCAGTTGCTTTTCTTTCATGATGAAGGTGCATGCAAAGTTCTTGAAACATGATTGAAAAACCCATTGAGTTTGTTCAGAATTAAATTTGACAGATTTACCCATTTGATTTTCTTTTATGATGAAGGGGTGAACTACATGACATAACATAATGAGAGCAAAACATGAGATTGTGATATTAATTTTATTGAACGGATTGCTGAGTGTTTCAGCACAGTTCTAAGCCCATCAGCGATGAAGCTTGCAGTGTAGAATGTTAACGGGAGGAATTGTCTTAAGCATTTACCTGGGAAAACAGTTTGGGATATTTTTTAAAAAGGACGATATAATAGTAGGAACCAGAGGATTTGGGTTATCGATCTTGCAATGACATCTCAGAATGCCAAATGAAGATGCACAATGACGTTGAACAGAGAGCAATCCAACAATTTAAGTAAGAGGTTAGGAGTGCTCAACTTGCATACCTCCCTTTTGAAGAGGCGCCTGAGATGGCAACTTGATGGTGGTGTTGCTTTGTCTCCTGTGCCTTGGCATTCAAATTCTGTTTAAACCTGAACCAGAACATATGACTTAAATAGAATTAATTAAAGTAAAAGGAAACTAAGTTGTCGAGGTAATCTACCTATTATTATTATTCCAATTTTAGTAAATTTCAGAACCAGAAAATATTTTTGGAACCGATATCATTGCTCGGCTTTTCAGTACAATTCTTAGCCGATGTAGCGTAGAATGTTTTTTTAAAGAACGAAATTCAGCTAACCATGGGAACAGGGGGAATTATGCAACCCATTTTCCAGAAAAAAAAACAGTTTGGAATATTAACCAAAATGGACAACTTAACAAAGGGATTCAGAGTATTACCCAATGACCATGCACAGTGGTGTTGAACAAAAAAAAACTGAAGATGTTAGGATTTTTACCTTGCATATCTCCCCTTTGAAGCAGCATGTGAAACTGTAACTTGGTGTTGCTTTGGCTCCTCCTCTGGGAAGACAGGCAGCAAACCCCCCTTATACCTTGAACCATAACATATGATTTATTCAGAATCACAGTGAAATGAAGCAGAGTCGTCAACAAAATATAGTAACATTCTAATTTCGGCAACTTTCACAATCATAATAATTTGTTCTCGCCGCAAGATTCAGAACCATAAGAACTTCTTCTCAGATACATTTATACTTCCAGTATACTTCCAGTACCATAAGAATTTGTTTTCAGATTTTACCAAATTTTAGAACCACAGGAGATTCCCACCAAATTCGGAGTACATATATAATTTCACCGAATGTTAGAACCACAAGAATTTCTAATTCCAGTGCTAAGAATTTGTTGTTGGATAAACTTCCAGTCTCAGCACATTTTGGAACGGAAATAATCTGTTGTTCAAACCAGGAAACAGACATACATAGTGTGGCCTTGTTTCGAAACGAAACAAACCGAAGAGAATTACAACAAATTCATATACTCCCTCCATAAAGAAATAGTGATCTAAACGCTTTTATATTTCTTTACAGAGCGAGTATATCAGCACAGCTAGGCAGGCAGCGGGCCGGGGGGAGGAGCCGAGGCGACTCGCCGGTTAGCTAGCTAGGGCTCTGCTGCAGGATGCGAACGGCGAACCTCCCTCGCCCGCCTTGCCAGGACCCGCGGCTGCGCGCTCGTCCAGATATAGCTACTACGCATACGACGGCACGTATAAGAGATAAATTGCACGAGTACTCGAGTAGAAAACTTACGAATCCTCCTGGCCAGTACCTCCCTGATCCGCCATGGCCGGCTGCGTGGTTAATGGTTTGATCTGCAGTTTCTAATCCGCGCCAGGGGGTGAGGTTGCAGCGCGTCGTCTGATGGGTTCGTATATGATTTGTAGGACGGCTCTTCTTTATACCATCGTCATGGTTTGACCAAGAGAGGGAGACGGACAGGCGGACAGCCAACGCGTTTCCAATTGGTGCTGTCTACGGTTTGGCCTTCCTGATAATGTTCTGCGGATTTTTATTCGACTGCCAAGGAAAGAAACCAACTTCTAAAAGCATCTTCAGCCGTTGTGCCCCTCCAAATATTTCAGCCGTGTCCACCCCAAGCATCTCCGCACCTCGACAAGGAGGACGCGTGGTGGTAGCTCAGAGGTCCACGAGCGCGTGGCGCGCAATGAGGAAGTGGCCGGGCGCCACCGCTCCTCGAGCTCGCCCTGCGGCAGCTCCGGCATGCCCGGGCCAGTGACGATGTCGAGGAGGCCCCGGCCACGCGGTGGTGCACCTCGGCCACGGCGGCGAGCGAGCGTAGGGCGAGGTCGCCATCCCCTTCCTCTGCATCTTGCGGACAGCCAAACTAGGCGGTGACGGCGACGCGGCGCGCGGTGAGCAGGGCGGCGGTGAGGAGGCAGAGGACGGTGCGCGGCAAGGAGGCGGCCGCAACCAGCAGGGCGAGCACCACGACACCTGTCATCGTCGACTCGGCGATTATCACGGCCTTCCTCGACAGTCGGTTGCCGGAGACGTCGAACGCCCGGAGCGTGGTCTGCGGCAGCGCGGGCACCGGCCCCATCAGCAGATTCCCGTCGAGTAGCAGCGAGGTGAGCCGCGACACGCGGGTGAGCTCCCGCGGGATCCGGCCCCATCAGCAGATTCCCGTCGAGCAGCAGCGAGGTGAGCCGCGGCACGCGGGCGAGCTCCCGCGAGATTCGGCCGGAGAGGCGGTTGCCCGAGAGCACGAGCACGATGGCGCGCTGGAGCAGCGCGAGGCCGGCGGGGAGGGGGCCGGAGAGGCGGTTGCTGGCGAGGTAGAGCAGCTTGAGGTTGGGGAGGGCTGCGGCGAGCCCGTCGGGGATGGGGCCAGATAGCGTGTGTGACCTTGAGGCTGAGGGATCCGGCTTGCCTGCTCCTTCTTCATACTTTCATCCGTGCTCCCACCTCATCCTACGACTGTTTTTTTTTCTTTTTCTTTTCTAATCTAATCATCTCCCCCTGATTTTAAGGGGGTGTGGCCGGGCCTTATTTTGTTCCAATCAAATCAAGCCATGTATGCGGGAGCACGGATGGGAGCATGGGAAGGGAGCAGGCAAGTCTCGTCCGAGGCTGAGCACGCGCAGCTCCGCGAGTGGGGCGAGTTCGTGGGGAAAGCATGTGGGTGGGGCCCGGGAGAAAAAGTATGGAGAGATGAGTGGGAGGCTAACAGTGGGCCAATGACATGCAAAATCTTCTCTCTCCTCCCCCAACAGCCACCCGGTGCCCTGAGTTTGCCCTGGGATCGCCGGTTGTGTTTTTGACCAAATCCGACAAAAAGTAGGGTCTTGAGAGTGCGGCTGGGAGTTTTCTTAAACGGCGATGCTAAAAAAGTGGCCTGGAGGGCGTTCCTGGGGCTCAGCTGGAGATGCTCTAACTATTATTTGTGGTAGATACTACTCCCTCTGTATCGTAATATTTGTCGCTGGAGCAGTTGAACTTCAGCTACTCCAGCGATAACTCGGTACGGAGGGAGTAGATAGTATACTAGCAAAACAGTCCGTGCGTTGCAACGAAAAAAAATCATAATCTCCAATGACCATGATCATATTTTGCTGCATCACCGAAATACACTATCACTCTCATTTTCGTGAAAATGTGAACAATTTTTGGAAATCATGACCATTTTTTAAAACTCGTGAACATTTTCACAGATTCTCGAACATTATTTGAAATCATGATTTTTTTTGAGTTCATGAACATTTTAAACTATTTGCAAACTTTTAAATGTTTTTGAACATTTTTAAAATATTTTTATTAAATAGGCAAGCATTTCTAAAACCAACAAACATTTTTTTGGAAATTGTTTGGTTGAACAATTTTATTAACACACATTTTTTTATTTAATAAACATTTTCCAAAATGCATGATCATTTTTTGAATCAGCAAACATTTTATGAATCAATAAACTATTTTGTAAGTCACAAACAGTTTTTAATTTTTTTGGATATTTTTTAATTCATGAACATTTTTTGATTCAATTTCATTAAAAAATTTAATACAAAAATTTTATGAATCAATAAACTATTTTGTAAGAACATTTTTTGATTTCTAGAATATTAGTTTTCAAAATTGCGAATATTTTTATAATATGCAAACTTTTTTTTTAAATCATGATCAATTTTTGAATCCACAAACATTTATGATGTATTAAACATTTTATTTCAAAATTAATTTTTTATATTTTTTGTAACTTTTTTGAAGTCCCAAATTATTCAAAGTAGAAAAATGAATAATAAAAAGGAACACAGAAAATAAAAAACAGGCCACCGGCTGGCCCAAACAGATGCTCTGTGTCTTCTCCCAGCGTGCAGAGCGCAGTTTAGTAGGTTCCTACTGTATGGGCCGGCCCAGGCGGGGATTCCCCTTGTGCGAAACAATTTTTTATCACTTATATGTGTTATTGGTGGATAATATTTTGCAACTTTATGGTAATTTCGATGACGTACCGCCTGTAGCAATAGCCCTTTTATTATTAGGTAAAGACAAGGAGCAACAGAGGTTGATTTGGTTTAAATAATGCTGTCTTGTCTTGTACTACTCTAATCTTACCCTCGTTACAAAGGTAACATCAATAAAAAAACACAACAAACTCAACCGCTCGATGGTCCAGATCCAACGGCTCATGGCTTTGCTGGTCTTTAAAAGGATCGGCCGGCCGACGTATAACACACCCAATACCCTATGGGCCATGACCTTCTCCTTTGGCGCACGTGCCCTCATCTTCAAGGGCGTCCCTGTGAGAGCAACTAGTTGACGAACGCTTCTTCGGTAGCCTTCGAATGATCACTTGGAGGTGGGCTGAGAGTGTGTCATTTGGCGCACTCTTAGCCGTCGCCACGTGTCATGTTTTGGGCGCTCCATCCGGATTTTATTTTTTTATTTATTTTTTCGCACGCATTTTTGGCTTTTTAGACAGGTTTTTTCAGCGTTTTGGTTTCCCACCAGTCTTTGTTAGCTTTTGGACAAAAGAAATTTGAATTTTCTTTTATTTACGCGTGAAAAATACGCTTTTTTTGCTTCCGCGAGACGCACAAATTTGCTTTCGTGAGAGGCACGACCATGCCTCTTGAAAACGGAAAAATGCGCTTTCTCTCTTTTTTTCCTTTCATGAGAGGCATAGTTTTGCTTTCGCGAGAGGCACGACCGTCTGGAAACGAAAAAAAAACGCATTTTTCCCTTCCGCAAGAGGCGCGGACGTACCTCTCGGAAACGAAAAAATATGCATTTTCTCTTCTTCTTTTTTTCTTCTGCAAGAGGTACGGTTTTCCTTCCGCGAGGAGCCCGATTTTGCTTTTGCGAGAGGCACAACTATGCTTCTCGGAAACAAAAAAAATGTTTTCTTTCTTTTTTTCTTCTATGAGAGGCACGGTTTTGCTTTCGTGAAAGGCATGGCCTTGCCTCGTGGAAATGGGAAAAACGTGTTTTCACTTTTTTTTCTTCGGCGAGAGGCACGGTTTTTTCGTCCTTTTTTTTTCTTTAAAAAAAAGTTCATCAAAACCTATCAACATGGGATCTAATTTTGAAGATCTCGATGTGAGAAATCAAATGGTGAAAACGGTTTAAGATTTGGACGTACAGTTTAAGAGATAAATCGTTTTGAATAAATAATTAAAAATGCTCAAGACGATAATCTCCATGTGGGCTTGGCCCCGGATCTTATCCCTAATGGTGTTACGGTCCTCCAGTATGCACCCAACACCATTATCTGCTTAGAGCATGATTTTGAAAAAGCTGACAATCTTAAGATGCTTCTGTTTATGCTTGAAATGGTTTCTGGGATAAGAGTTAATTTCCAAAAGAATGAGATCCTTACTGTTGGCAGGGATGCGGATATTGTTGAACAATATGCTAAGCATTTTGGATGTGATGTAGGCCAATTTCCTATCGAATACCTAGGTATGCCAGTGAGCTTTACCTTACTAAGAACTTCTGATTGTGATTTCTTGGAAGGCAAGTGTTTGAAATGATTTGATGCCTTGGTAGGGAATGCTCCCTCTATAGGTGGGAGACACACTCTGTTAAATGTTGTCTTATCTCAAATCTCATAATAACATATGTCAATGTGATTAATGAACAAGACTTTGGTAGACAAACTAGACAAGTACAGATGAAATTTTCCTGGCAAGGTTGTAATAAGAAGAAATACCACCTAGTTAGATGGTCTAGGATCCGTAGATCTAGAAATAAAGGTGGGTTGGGAGTTAAGATATTACTATAAAATAGAACATCAGCTTGATGGAAGTGGTGGTGCAAACTTGATACTCCCTCCATTCCCTTATACAAGGGCACTATGAAAAATACATTTTGCATCTATACAAGGCCACTAAGAGTAATCGAGGCAAACATTAATGTTGTTTTCTCGTACTACCAACTTTTTTAATACTTGAATGCATGTAGTCATAATGACAATGTGCTACTTCCTTCTCATTCCTTCCTTGCAAGCATACAAGTGTATTAATGACCCCGTTTAACGAAAAGAGAAGTTGGCTTCCAAAGCACTCATTAAATTTTACCTTGGTATCTGTAATTTGAGTTTGTGGCCTTGTATAAGGGAATGGAGGGAGTAACGAAAATGGGATCTGTGAGGATATTGTGAAAGCCAAATACTTGGAAAATAAAACGGTGACTACTGTACATGATGGGGAGGAAAAATCATGTTGGGTCTAGTGATATTTCTAGGCTTTGGTAAGATTCTCTTGGAGGATAAACCCCTTTATGTGATAAATTCCTTCAACCTTTTGACATTTGAAATGACCAGGATTGTATTGTTGATCAAGTTTGTTGGTAACTTTCATCTTAGTGCTGAAGGAGATATTGTATACTAGGTCTAAATAAAAATGCTAAAGACTCACTAAGTCTATGTATAAAATGGTTGGAAAAGCCTCTTAATGTGTGTAGTTATAAATAGATTTGGGATGAGAAGCTACCATTTGAAATTCAAATTTCTCCATGGCAATTGAATCTTGTCAACATCTTTTCATTGCTTGCTCAGTTGCTTGGGTTATCTGCAACACTGTTGGGGTTGTGTTGGGTACAGATTCGTGCCTTGATAATCGATGGCAGTATTATTTCATGGTGTTAATCTTTTCTTCCTGGTTGGGAAAGATTTTATATTGTTGGTCTGGCGGCCATCACATGGGTTATTTGGAATGGTCGAAATCGAACTACCTTTGAACACAAATTGTTCTATTCTCATGTACTGTTCTTTTTTTGCGAAAGTACTGGGCAGGTATTCTTATTTACTGGGCAGGTATTCAAAAGATGGGTGACCCTAAGGTGCTCAAGACTAGAGTTGAGCTTCTTCGCTCCAACACGGTGAATTTGATGAGGATCGGCTCAAAGGTCGGCCGAGGGGGAGTGAAGCTTGGCATCTCATGATGCAGATCTATTGTCTGTTTTGTCCTCCGTTTGGTTTATTGGACTCGCTTGGGGGCTTGCTTTAGTCTGAGAACATTGTTGAGAACTATCATCTGGCTTGTAATTAGGACCAATAGAGTACAGGTACAGCCTCAATGGAGCCCGTTTTCAAAATATCACATTTCCATAGCGTAAAAAATACATACAACACGGTCAAGAAAAGTTTCGTAACAATATACTTTCATATGGGGTGTAGAAAAAAAATACATACATGAAAATGAGCCAATTTCTTTTTGTTGTTGGGCCTTTTTTTTGCATAGCTTGCAAATCATAATATTTTTAATAGCAATTCGAACTATTCAAAAAATCATAATATTTTTAAACAAAATTTTAAAGATCCGTCATGAATATATATAAGTTTTCACAGGATTTTCTTTTAAACCTGGAAATATGACACTCTAGGTACATAGTCTTTTGGTGATGCCCCCCAGTAGTGCATTGAACTCGGCTTCCCTTCTTTCCCATCTCCTGTTATTTCTTTAGAACTGTTTTATTTACGTTATGATTAATGGAAAGGGGTTAGCCCAGTCTTAAAAAATTCCTAAGCCAAGACGCAAACCACAATAGCAAATGTCATTATCGAATATTGGTAACACACAACAACATTCAGTTGACACTCAGGTCCTCCATCCCACATGACATATTTCTCAAGTTGATCAACTCCATGCCATGGGTATTTCACAAAAGGCAAGCCAATACACACCAGAGAAGACTAGCCACACAAGCAGCACTAGCCACCAGGCTTCAAGTGCTATGTTACTAGTCGCTGTCGCTATCGCCGTCCGAACCAGGATAGTCAATACAAGTACTACTACCACCGCCATATGCTTGGCTGCTTGGGTGAACAACAGGCTGGTAGTTTTCACAGCCATAGCAACGCCCTGCAACGTCGATAGAACAAATAAAGAGTTAGACAAATATCAATATCAGATTGTGATTAAGGCATATGTGTGAGCAACACAACTGATTGCACCTGATGCAAACCTCACCAACAATAAGGAAACATGGCCATAATCAGGAAAGAAACAATAGGAACAACTAACAAGAAAGCCACCAAGGTACCTGCGTCATTTTCCCCAACTATACAGCAAATAATCACGTCATTCTCACTCCGAAAATTCAGGTGGACTTCAGAGAAGAATAGCTTGGTACTGTCGGCATCAGCAGAATGTTGCTCCTCAGGCTGCTTAGCTGTGAAGTTATAATGGGCGCCGGCCCCTCCAAACTCATAAAATATAGATATCACTTTTACCTCCACCAGCTCAAACTGAAAAAAAAATCAAAATGTAAAGACATGTTTAAAATGGATAATCAGGCTGAAAAGCCATCCCAATTGTCACGACCTCACATACTCGGAGATAAGAGAGAAAGAGAGAGGAAGACCTTGGTGTTGTTGGCTCTGTTGTATTTATGCAAGGCCACCTCCGCATGGTAGCGCGCGTCCTTTTGTTTGGCCGCGACTCTTCTTTCGCGGAGCGCATTCCTCACCTCCAGAGGCTTCCTCTTTCGCATTACAACTGGAATTCCGACGGTAGCCCGCTCAAAGTCACCCGTAAATCTGGGTAGGGGCAAAGGCTGAAACCTCGAAGCATGTTCCTCCATGTTGATACCTTCAGGAGTGCTCCTCTCCATGGACATCCAACCAGCTCGACTCCTGATTCAGTAATGTGAACTGATTGTTATAAAAATAATAATTCACAAGTACCATGCCGTAATGTGAGAAATAGTAACTGTATCATTTACCCAGTTGCTTTTCTTTCATGATGAAGGTGCATGCAGAGTTCTAGAAACATGATTAAAAACTCGTCGAATTTGTTCAGAATTAAAATTTGACAGATTTACCCATTAGATTTTCTTTTATGATGAAGGTGCATGCAGAGTTCTTGAATCATGTTTAAAAACTTACAGTGTAGAATGTTAACGGGAGGAGTTGTGTTAACCATTTTCCAGCGAAAACAGTTTGTAACATAAACAAAAAATGGACGATTTAATACTGGGAACCAGAGGATTTGAGAGTGCCAAATGAAGATGCACAGTGGGGTTAAACGGATAGCAATCCAGAAAAAAAAAGTTAGGAGTGCTCAACTTGCATACCTCCCTTTTGAAGCGGCGCATGAGACGTGAACTTGATGGTGATGTTGCTTTGTCTCCTGTGGCTTGGCATTCAAATTCTCTTTAAATCTGAACCAGAACATATGACTTATATTGAATTAAAGTAAATGAAGCTAAGTTATCGACATAATCTACCTATTATTATTAACTAGAAAATATTTTTGAACCGATAGCATTTGCTGCACTTTTCAGTACAATCCTTAGCCCATCACTGATACACCCTGCAGTGTACAAATCTTAAAAAAAACAAAATTCGGCTAATCAACTGCAATGGGAGGAATTATGCTACCCATGATTTTCAAGGAAAAATCAGTTTGGAATATAAACAAAAACGAACAAGTTAATAATAATGGGAACCTGAGTATTTACATTTCAGAACGAGGAATGACCATGCATAGTGGAGTTGAGAGCAACCCAGAAAAAAAGTGAAGATGGTACGAGTTTTACCTTGCATATCTCCCCTTTGAAGCGGCCCGTGAAACTGCGACTTGGTGTTGCTTTGGCTCCTCCTCTGGGAAGACAGGCAGCGAATTCCCCTTATACCTTGAACCATAACATATGATTTATTCAGCATCACAGTAAATTGAAGCAGAGTCTATCAATAATATTCTAATTTCAGAATCTTAATAATTTGTTTTTGCCTTCTAGTTTCCGCAACTTTCAGCAACACAATACTTACTAGTTTCAGCAAATTTTTACAACCATAAGAATACATTTTTAGAATTTTAATATTATAATTTAGTTTTATTCTCGGAACATTTCTACTTCCCAGAAATTTTAGGACCATATGACTTTGTTCTCACTTACATTTTTACTTTGAGCAAACTTTAGGACCATATAAGAATATGTCCCATCTCTTTACATTACAACTTCAGCGTTAAGAAGATAAACTTCTTCCTCTAGCCATTCTTCTTCCTCCTTCTCCGAACGTACCACCGGCCCAACCGCCAGCGCTCCCGCGAAGCCTCGCCGCCTGCCCTCCCATAAACCCCCTCCCACCGCGGTGCTGCCGCCCCCGGCCGGCCATCCCTCTAACCCCGGATAGACAATGGGGGGGCCCTGGCACTCTAAGATAGATAATGGTGGAGCTTCTCCGGCGAGCCGGTGAGCTTCTTCCTCCCCTTTGGATGTTTCTTTTTTCAATCCGAAATCAACCGACCCAAATTTAAAAGTCAGGCGACTTCATGTAGGTATTGTAAATAAATATGTGTATATATCCGAACAGCTAGGCAGAGCGGGTCGATGGGAGGGAGGCGACTGGCGGCGCTGCTTCCCTAGCTCGTCGAGATGTAGGCATGTAGCTACTACGCTTGCGACGACGCGTAAGAGATAAATTGCACGAGCACTCGAGTATATAGAGAACTTACGAATCCTCCTGGTCAGTACCGCCCTGATCCGCCATGGCCGGCTGCATGCTTAATGGTTTGATCTGCAGTTTCTCAATCCACGTTACAGAGGCAGCCTTATTTATACCATCGTCATGGCTTGACTTTGACCAAGAGAAGGAGACGGACGGCCAACGCGTTTCCGATTGGTGCTGTCTACGGTTTGGCCTTCCTAATAATGTTCTGCGGATTTTTATTCGACTGCCGTTCGCCACTGCTAAGGAAAGAAACACAGAGATCGGATACCAACTTCTATTCTAACTCCGCTATTACTCGTGGTAGATACTCCGAGCTGCTCTGATGGGCTCACCGGCCGACGCGACAGGCGCCCGAGCTCCCAAACCACAGGGGCTTCAGATCCGTGAGCGGACACACTGATACAAACTCTCTGCAACAACACCTCTGTACCAAAGGTCTCTGCAACATCACTTTTGTTGCAAAGTCGATTCAAATGCACGAACGAACATGCTGACGCAACGGCTCCACACCACCACCTCTGTTGCAAAAGGTCTCTGCAACAACTCCTCTATTGCAAAAAGCGATTCAGATGCATGAGCGGACATGCTGACACATTAACTCTACAACATTACATCCGTTGCATTGCAAAGGCTCTGCAACAACACCTCCATTGCAAACATCTCTGTAACAACTCTCTGTTGCAAAGACAAAAGTGGTGCTCAACCGCTCGATGGGCCAGATCCGACGGCTCGTGACCCCGCTAGTCTTTAAAAGGACCAGCTAGCTGGCTGACATGTAGCACACCCAATACCCTATGGCCACGACTTTCTCCTTTGGCGCGCGTGCCGCTCATCTCCAAGGGTGTCCTTGTGCCCTCATATGTCTAGACGGATAGTCCATAATTGTTCGGACACAAAAACGGATGCCAAACGAGTTCACCCAAATTTAGCTCATATGTATGGACTCCCTCGAACCCAACCCATCTGTGTGTGTTGGAGGGGAGATGGGGTTGTCCGCCACGTCAGTTTGGACATGCGGTCCCTACCCAAACCTGACCCCCGTGCCACAACTTCTCCTATGTTCCTTTCACTACATGTGCCTGATGCCGTCCTGCACCAACCTAGAGCACCACCCTCTGGACATGGTCATCGTGCTCAGTCCTACATCACCATCGGACACGGTCGCTGCGTAGGCTACTTGGGTTATATGATACAGTTGCGGGCGTCGTTGATGAGTATGTCTGGGTGGCAGAGAGCGCACACATTGAAGCAATGGTCAGCATTTTCCACTGCAATGGAAAGTGTTTGGCAAAGATGATTTGAGAGAATCAAATGGCGTGGACACAACCAAGATTTTGGCAGTTGGAGAAGCAAGAGGTTTTTCGGTATGCTTGGTTCCGCCGATGGCATGAACTGAAAAATGGAAGAATTGTCCAAATTGTTAGTGAGGGCACTGCCAAGGTCATGCCGGGATCCCACCTTCATAAGTAATGGAATTAATTTCATCACAAGACATGTGGACTTTATCAGTTTTTCTCTGGCACGCCAGTGTCTTGCAATAACATCAATGCGCGAGACTTCATGATGGGAAGGCTCCAAAGTTCAACTACACCATTAACGGGTACAACTACTACATGGGATACTACCTCGGCGACAATATATATATTCTCAATATGTATCTCTTTATTGGTTTGTTTATCAACTATAGCCTATTAATATTGATGTTAGCATTTGGTTCTCTTGGTAGCGTCCATGACATTTGGTTCTCTCAAGTACTCTACGCCAAAAACCTTCACCATCAAAATGGAAAATTCTGATCATTGCCTCAATATGTGTGCTCTTTGCCATCGGGATATAGTCATCAACTGACACCTACAGTTGTACCATATGCAGAACATCCTCATATAAAAAATGTATTTCTCGAGAGCAGATAACCCAAGTAGACTGTTAGTGACCATGTCTAGCCATGCAAGACCGAGAACAACTATTGTGTGTTGGGGGGTGGGTGCTCTAGGTGGGTGTAGGACGACGTCGGGCGTGGGTAGTGGGAGGAACAGAGGAGGAGCTATTGTGTGGGGGTGGGATTTGGGGTAGGAGTGAAAGATCGTGGATGTCGCCTAGAGGGGGTGAATAGGCGTTTTAAAATAATTACGGTTTAGGCTTGAACAAATGTGGAATAAACCTAGCGGTTAATTTGCCAAGCACAAAATCTAAAACAACTAGGCTCACCTATGTGCACCAACAACTTATGCTAAGAAAGATAAGCAACTATGTGATAGCAAGATATATGACAAGAAACAATATGGCTATCACAAAGTAAAGTGCATAAGTAAAGGGCTCGGGTAAGAGATAACCGAGGCACGAGGAGACGACGATGTATCCCGAAGTTCACACCCTTGCGGATGCTAATCTCCGTTTGGAGCGGTGTGGATGCACAATGCTCCCCAAGAAGCCACTAGGGCCACCGTAATCTCCTCACGCTCTCGCACAATGCAAGATGTCGTGATTCCACTAAGGGACCCTTGAGGGCGGTCACCGAACCCGTACAAATGGCAACCCTTGGGGGCGGTCACCGAACCCGTACACTTTGGCAACCCTTGGGGGCGGTCACCGGTACCCGTCAAATTGCTCGGGGCGATCTCCACAACCTAATTGGAGACCCCGACGCTTGCCCGGAGCTTTGCACCACAATGATTGAGCTCCGAACACCAACAACCGTCTAGGGCGCCCAAGCACCCAAGAGGAACAAGCTCAAGGGTACCAAGCACCCAAGAGTAATAAGCTTCTCAACTTGTAACTTCCACGTATCACGTGGAGAACTCAAACCGATGCACCAAATGCAATGGCAAGGGCACACGAAGTGCCCAAGTCCTTCTCTCTCAAATCCCACCGAAGCAACTAATGCTAGGGAGGAAAACGAGAGGAAGAACAAGAAGGAGAACACCAAGAACTCCAAGATCTAGATCCAAGGGGTTCCACTCACATAGAGGAGAAAGTGGCTGGTGGAATTGTGGATCTAGATCTCCTCTCTCTTTCCCCTCAAAAACTAGCAAGAATCCATGGAGGGATTGAGAGTTAGCAAGCTCAAAGAAGGTCAACAATGGGGGAAGTGTTGGAAATATGCCCTAGAGGCAATAATAAATTAGTTATTATTATATTTCTTTGTTCATGATAATCGTTTATTATCCATGCTATAATTGTAATAATAGGAAACTCAGATACATGTGTGGATACATAGACAACACCATGTCCCTAGCAAGCCTCTAGTTGACTAGCTCGTTGATCAATAGATGGTTACGGTTTCCTAACCATGGACATTGGATGTCGTTGATAACGGGATCACATCATTAGGAGAATGATGTGATGGACAAGACCCAATCCTAAGCCTAGCACAAAGATCGTGTAGTTCGTATGCTAAAGCTTTTCTAATGTCAAGTATCATTTCCTTAGACCATGAGATTGTGCAACTCCCGGATACCGTAGGAGTGCTTTGGGTGTGCCAAACGTCACAACATAACTGGGTGGCTATAAAGGTGCACTACGGGTATCTCCGAAAGTGTCTGTTGGGTTGGCACGAATCGAGACTGGGATTTGTCACTCCGTGTGACGAAGAGGTATCTCTGGGCCCACTCGGTAGGACATCATCATAATGTGCACAATGTGATCAAGGAGTTGATCACGGGATGATGTGTTACGGAACGAGTAAAGAGACTTGCCGGTAACGAGATTGAACAAGGTATCGGGATACCGACGACCGAATCTCGGGTAAGTATCGTACCACTAGACAAAGGGAATTGTATACGGGATTGATTAAGTCCTTGACATCGTGGTTCATCCGATGAGATCATCGTGGAACATGTGGGAGCCAACATGGGTATCCAGATCCCGCTGTTGGTTATTGACCGGAGAACGTCTCGGTCATGTCTGCATGGTTCCCGAACCCGTAGGGTCTACACACTTAAGGTTCGATGACGCTAGGGTTATAAAGGAAGTTTGTATGTGGTTACCGAATGTTGTCCGGAGTCCCGGATGAGATCCCGGACGTCACGAGGAGTTCCGGAATGGTCCGGAGGTAAAGATTTATATATGGGAAGTCCTGTTTTGGTCACCGGAAGAGTTTCGGGGTTTATCGGTAACGTACCGGGACCACCGGGAGGGTCCCGGGGGTCCACCAAGTGGGGCCACCAACCCCAGAAGGTTG